TACTCAAAATTAATCACAAATCTGCATCATATGAATATTAAACCTCAACTGGTTGAACAAATTTATCAATTCTTCTAACTCTAGATTCTTTTAATCCTTATTATTGAAAATCTTAAAAGAATTTGAATTCTTCTTTAATTTGTGCAAATAATTCATTAGCATATTTATGCTAAAAGAACTTTATTCCATTAATTACCAAGCAAAATCAACTAATTTTCAGATTCTCTAAATATAATATAAATTTACATTCATCTACCAATAATTTAACATCCAACTCTTACAAATTACTTGAATTACCTTTTGTTTAAAAAGAAAAAGCTTTTTCAACTAAATATAATATTCTAATTATATTAGATCCTTTCAAACCTAATATTCTTGATTTGATATTGAATTCTTTTTAATATTTATCAACTTCAATTTCAAATATGGAAATATATTTATAATCTTTTTCTAAATTATCAAATAGATCAGGAGTCTTTCTAAAAATATTATTTAGTTACTTTGAATATAGTTAATCCTTCTTCTGTAAGATTTCTATGATTAAATTGATAAATATGATGAACTGAAGAATCTTCAAAACATAATTAAACTTTAAGAATGTGAATTTAATTGGTGCCAAATTTACCAGGTAATTGAATTGGAGTATTATTAAGTAATTTAACAGCAATCCAACATTCAACAATACTTCTCATTAAAATATAAGCAATTTTATCTTTATTAATAACCTTTAGTATCTCAAATAATTAAATAATTAATACTTATCCAAAATGTTAAAATATAGTCTCAATATCAATTGTATCAACTGGATAATAACTAAGAGGATCTAGAGTTAATGTTACTAAAGGAAGATAATAAAAGTCTTTTAACTCTTTGTTTATATTATGAGCTTTGATGAAAAAATCATTTTATAGATTGGAGTCCAAGACTATCTTTTCTATTTTATCTCTAAAATCTATGTTTGATGAAGTTAAAACTTCTTCAAATTTTAATTCTTAATTTAAATTAATCTCATTACTAATTAATAATATTATACTTATCATCTTATTATCTATTAAGTTTCTTCAAGAATCTCTTCTCTCCATATAAGAAGGAAGCATCTATTAATACTCATATTAAAATATTACCTAACATTTTTGGTAACATTTAAATTATAATATATATTTTAATAAATTATTTATTCAATTTTACTTATCTTTTTACTTTAAATAAAATTCTTTATTTTTGTTACTAATCTTTTCGATAATGTATTTATATTTGAAAACACTCTTTTCCATTTATAAATACACCTAAACAAGATCTTCTACATCTCTTGCACAATAATACATGAAAGCTGGATTTGGACGAACAAAGAAATCGTCATCTTTTAATTAATAGAATTTAGTATGCATTTCCTCTTTTAATTCATTAGCTCCATATAAAGCTCCATATTTTATTAATACACTATTTATTGGTGGAGTGGCTACTTATAATACTTCTTTAGATATTAATATTGAACTATAAATTTAATAAATATATATCGAATACTTTTTTTAAACCTTTTTCTAATCTTAATCATTTAATTTAATTTATTCTATTAATTAATATGTACTACTAGTATCTACTATATTCTTCGGACAAATCTAATTGATATGCAAAGCTTAACTATCTCTTTTACAATCATGGAATACTTTACAAATCTCTTCATCTTCTAAGATTCTTCTAATTACATTCAACATTTATTCATGAAATACTAAATTACTTTCCAAATATTTAGCTTTCATTAAATCAAATATAAATATTATTCTCAAATTTTCTATCATTACTCCCATTTAAATAAGCCATATATCTCCTTCCTTTAATTATCCTTCCAAATCTGTTGCTATATAATTAACATCTTATGATAAAAAATCTTATGCTAAAAGTAACTTTTCTGCTGAATCCACTATTATTGTATTTCTTACATCTTTATCTACATATTCTTATACCTCTCTAATCTTTTTTATTAACATATCATTGTTTATCTATTTTATCTTTTATGGTGATTAATATTACTTTCCACATTTGCATTTCTTTATTTTATCAACTCTTTTTCCTTATTCATTTATAACATAAAAGTTTCCATTTATACTGTAAAACTTATGCTTTTTCTCCTTATGTAGATAATTTACTAAGCATTTATGTTTATTATAATCATTAACTTTCATTTCTACTTGCTTTATCAATTTACCAAAATTAATTGAACTTTAATTACGTGTTAATGCAATCTTATAAATATCTTAAATTATAGCTTTTAATTATTGAATATCAGCATCAAAAGATATTATATTAAACCCATCTTCAGATATTTATTCATAAACTTCTGGATGAATTTAATCTTTTAACTAAGTCTTCACTTTTGCTAATATATTCTCTTAAAAATATTCAATTAATGTATATTTCTTTTGTGGATGTCTAATAAAATATTAATAAATTCCTGGCATCTCTAAAACCTAATCTAATTTATATATTTCCTTTTTTATTACACTTTCCTCTATTGGCAATTCTACTTTGTTTTTCAATATATTCACCAATGCTTAAAATAATATTTATTCATAAAATTGATTATAAACATTGTAATCCAAAATTGGAATTAATAAAATTTATTTTTAAGTAACTTTCCTTTTCTCTTTCTTACTTGAATTATCTTATTCAATCTAATGTACTTTTACTATAAATTCTTTCTCAAATACAGCACCACTTTTTACTAAAATCTTAATTATCTTCAATTCTGATAAATCAATTCCTCTCTGTATAAAACCTACCAAATTAAAATATTTCAGAATCTCACCTTTATTCTAAGGCTTACCATTTGAAATCTTTCTATATAAATTAATTATCATATCTTTTTAGATATATTTTCTTATTTTATCTCTATATTCTCTTATATTATCAATTTAAAATATATTTCTTTTTTATTGCAATCCTAATACTCCTTAATCAATCATTCTATATTATTATAAATATAATAATCCATAAGTTCTATGATTAATTAATGGTTTTAAATTATATCTTAATGGTCTTTACTCTTAATTTAATTTTACAAAATCTCTTTCAATATTAAAATATAATTCTAAATCTTCTAAACCATGTGCAAACCGACAATCTTTTTTTTGAAATGTACAAATGCCTCTCATCCAATATTAACATAGAAAATATTTAATTTTTGGTTTCTAAAGATATCCATTTAATTCTTATATTTATTCAGGTGTAAAATTTTTAACTATTGAACTTATAGGTACTCCAGAATCTCTCGAATTTACAAATTTTATATACTAAAATCCATTTTCTTCAGCATATTCATCCCAAATTTAATCTTTTAACTTTAAAATCTAAATCAAATTTGGCAGAATTTATTCTTACTTTTCAAAATTAATTTGATTTTATTTTTAAATAATTTCATCTATTGCTAAATGAAAATCATCCATATCTGTAAGTTTAGCCAAATCTGGTTTTTCTTTTAAAATTTCTACTAATTTTGCATCAAAACTTTTTATTATATTTTACTTATCATCAACCTTAATTAAAAAAGCAATTTCTTTTTCTCCTTCTTTAATTTCTATAGGATCATCTAATTCTACAACTTCATTATCATCTTCTTCATCTAAATCTTCATTTCCTTCCTTATTGTTATCATCCTAATTCACTTTTTATTCTTATTTTATCACACCATCTTTTAAGACTTTTAATGTATTTTATTTTCTTAAAATATATTCATCATATCCATTTATTACTATATTTGTTTTAAACATCTTTTAAAAACAATAACCACTATTTTCTAAATGGAATATCAAGGTCTTAGGTCTAGCAAAATTACTTCCTATAAAATAATAATATATATAACTACCCATATATGAGTATCCTACTCTATTTAATTCATGTATGAAAACAGCTTTAGGAATAACTTTAACTTATAATATTTCTAATATTTTATCATAAAAACTCTCAATCTCAATTAAATACATAGTATTAAGTATAATTGATTGTATTTATTTCTCAAACTTTATTTCTTTTAAATTGTAAACTTTTTTAGGATCATAATATTTTCCAAAAAATTCATGATATTATCTCAATTATTCCTTCACTTTAGGATTTGATTAAAATTTCTCAACTACATAAAATTATTTTGGTAATCCATCAATCCTATATTATTGTTTTACATCCTCTAATCTAGGTAAAGGTCTTAAATTTGTTATTGAATCTATTTAATATTCTAAAAACTCGATCCCATGAGCAAAATGACAAAATTCTAATTATTGCATTCACACTTACATGGAGTAAAACAGCAAGTACCTCTTAACCAAAATTTACATAAATATTGTTTTTATTTAGGATCTCTGTGTTAATCATACAAAATAAATTGTTCTGCATTTATTTAAAATGATTATGACAAAGTATTTATGTAATCTGCGTTAAACATTTTTTATTAATTATTTTTATATAATTTTAAAAAAATTTTTTAAACAAAATCTATTGGATATAATAAATGATACTAAAAATTACTTAATNTTCTTACTTTTCAAAATTAATTTGATTTTATTTTTAAATAATTTCATCTATTGCTAAATGAAAATCATCCATATCTGTAAGTTTAGCCAAATCTGGTTTTTCTTTTAAAATTTCTACTAATTTTGCATCAAAACTTTTTATTATATTTTACTTATCATCAACCTTAATTAAAAAAGCAATTTCTTTTTCTCCTTCTTTAATTTCTATAGGATCATCTAATTCTACAACTTCATTATCATCTTCTTCATCTAAATCTTCATTTCCTTCCTTATTGTTATCATCCTAATTCACTTTTTATTCTTATTTTATCACACCATCTTTTAAGACTTTTAATGTATTTTATTTTCTTAAAATATATTCATCATATCCATTTATTACTATATTTGTTTTAAACATCTTTTAAAAACAATAACCACTATTTTCTAAATGGAATATCAAGGTCTTAGGTCTAGCAAAATTACTTCCTATAAAATAATAATATATATAACTACCCATATATGAGTATCCTACTCTATTTAATTCATGTATGAAAACAGCTTTAGGAATAACTTTAACTTATAATATTTCTAATATTTTATCATAAAAACTCTCAATCTCAATTAAATACATAGTATTAAGTATAATTGATTGTATTTATTTCTCAAACTTTATTTCTTTTAAATTGTAAACTTTTTTAGGATCATAATATTTTCCAAAAAATTCATGATATTATCTCAATTATTCCTTCACTTTAGGATTTGATTAAAATTTCTCAACTACATAAAATTATTTTGGTAATCCATCAATCCTATATTATTGTTTTACATCCTCTAATCTAGGTAAAGGTCTTAAATTTGTTATTGAATCTATTTAATATTCTAAAAACTCGATCCCATGAGCAAAATGACAAAATTCTAATTATTGCATTCACACTTACATGGAGTAAAACAGCAAGTACCTCTTAACCAAAATTTACATAAATATTGTTTTTATTTAGGATCTCTGTGTTAATCATACAAAATAAATTGTTCTGCATTTATTTAAAATGATTATGACAAAGTATTTATGTAATCTGCGTTAAACATTTTTTATTAATTATTTTTATATAATTTTAAAAAAATTTTTTAAACAAAATCTATTGGATATAATAAATGATACTAAAAATTACTTAATTATAATTATAAATATTTTTATAAATATACTTCAATTATCCTCATAGCATTTGGACTTAAATGTATAAAATACCGATCTATCTTAAAATTTAGCTTTTTGATAATTTTTTCTAAATATATCTTTCCAATCTGATATTGTTATTACAGGAATATCAATACAATACTTTTTTCTAATAATTTTCCAACATTTTCTTTTCATAGTAAAAATAGGATATTTTTTTTGTGCATAAATGTCCAAATTTAGAAGTTCTAACATGTAATCTTGTTAAAAAAAATATTTTGTATAATCGATTGAGGCTATTTCTCTCATAACTAATTAAGTTGATGGATCAGGAACTTTACTAATAATAGATTCTTCTTCTTTAGTTATTGTTCTTTTTTTAAATGCCAAAAAACGAGAAACGTCTCCTTTAAAAATTGTACCATAAGTACTTTATCTAATAGATATTACATCCACAATATTTAGCTCTCCATAAGTATTAAGAATCAATTCGATAAAAGCCTTATACCTAAATCCTTTTTAGGTGGTGGAATTCACTAACAGAACTTCAAAGTTAAAAGAAGAGTTCATATCAGCAAAAATTTCAAAACCGTATTGCAATATATTAATTTTTTCTTTAAATAACCGCTTTTTATTTTGAAATTAAATTTGATTGAATTTTGGATGTTCAAATTAGAATTTTAAAAAAAACAACTAAATAACACAATCATTATTCAAAGCAACACATTAATTGAAATTTATTTCAGTTGATTTATTTTTACTATTTCCTGATACTTCAAGCTTTTAACTTATTTTTTAATTCATTATTTCAACCTGTATAATATTTAATGATGTATAAAAATTAAAACCATCTTCCTCACAAGCTCCAGTTTAAGACTACTAATTTGTATTATAAATAGTTGCTTCTCCATTATACTGAAGTAATCTATTTCCATCAGACTTTTCTAAATCATTTTATATATCTTATTTATCATTTTCAATTTATGGTTAGGTAAATACTTTATTTTAAATTTCCTGAATTAAAAAATAATTGATTGTTTAATATTCTTATATTTCTTCAAGAGCTTAACTCAAATCAGAATCTTATTTAGTCTCTGTAGTTATTAAATTAGAATCTCCAGAGAATTCAGTTTGAAAATTTTCTTATTAAGTATTCTCATCCTAATTTAGTTATTTAATTGAATTATCTAATAAAGAACTTGTTGATATACGAGAAGAAACTAAAAAATTATAATTATCAAGGCCAGTCTCTTAAGATTGTTCAAACTTTTCAAAATAATTGATACCTTCTGCTTAACTACTTTCTATTAAATCTTACTTTGTTATTTTTTTACTAATTATAGTTCCTCCAAACCAAGATACTTTTTTGGTTGTTTTTGGATAAAAAGCTTATTTACCTATATAATAAAGATTGGAAAACTCTTCTTATAGAATTCTTCTTCCATCATTAATAGTATTATTAGAAGGTTCTTCTAAATTAGGTGAAATATGCATTATATTAGATAAAAGTGGTTATAAAAACAAATCAGACATTTTAGATGGAATACCTATTTTCTACACTTCTCCTGTTTATTAATCAGTTATTACTGTAAGTAAAGGTAATTCATTCACATCACCACACTCATTCTCAGGAATTCCTTCACAAATATTATTATTATTTGTTTAATTATTATTAGAATCTAATCTTCTTAATAATCTTTAAAGTTATTATTCAATATTCATATTTTATTCTAATAAATCTGATGATTGAACTGTTCCATCAGAATTATATTGGTTTAGACTTATTTTTAGACCTTACAAAATCAATAAACTAGTAGCATTTTATTGATTAACATCTGTGGTTACTCTAGTTGTATTTAAGTGAATTTCAGTGCAATTATGAAGTTCTTATGATTTACTAATCACACATATTTGATCTTTTTGTTAGAAGTCATCTCTTTGATATTAATTTAATGTTGGAACTAAATTAGTTTTAGTTTTTGTAAGATAAATGGCTAAGAATGTGGCAACCGCTGATATAGATAGAAGAGTAATTGAAAAAGTAATCCATTTGCATCTTGATGAAAAAAATAGTTTTTATTTGGTAATTCTCTATTCTTTTTCTATTCGTTAGGTTTATCCATATTTTAAATCTTGTTTCTCTTCAATATTTTATTCTGTTTGCATCTTTATAATTATATTTATGATGGATAAAAGAGGGTTAAATACAATGCAAGTATTCTAGAATTTTTGATGGAACACTTATATATTATACTATAACTATTATTACGGGGGGTTAATAGAATATAATTTTTAAGAATTAATTAATATATTTAAAATTTATAAAAGTAATTCACTTTAAATTATCTATTCAATTCAATTACAAAGAAAAAATTAGATGAATCAAGCAAAAAATTATAAGAAAAACAATGTTTTTGACATTAAGTATGAATTTTAACAATGAATTATGATGTAGATTATTAATTTTTTAGTTCAAAAAGAGGTTTTTAAATTTTGAATGATTTAAACTAATTTATTTAATAATATATTCATTAATATGTTTCTTATGAATTATTAGATTGAAATAATATAGATTATATGTAAAGAATAAATTATTTAATGTTATTATATTATTATAAATTTATCTATAAAAATAATAAGGTAGATAATTGAAATTAATATAAAATGTTCTTTCAATTCTGATTGTAAATAAAGGTATGAGAAAAAATAATTTTATGAGAACATTTTGAAATTTTAAAATTTAGATAAGAAAATAAATAATATTGAATAAAAATGTATGCCCCAAAATGTAAAGAGAAAAATCATTTTGAGAGGGAAGTAACATTATTTTGTCTTCATCCTAAATGTTAAAAGAAATGGGGATGTTAAAAGTGTTTAAGTTAATATCATAAATCTCATATTGAATGTTGCATAAGTGTTAGTGAATTTGAAGATTAAGTAGTATTAGCAAAGAAGAGAATGAGAGAGATAGTAGAGATGAAATTTTCAGATGCAATAATTTAATTAGATGAGGCATCAAAACTATTAGTGAAGAAAATAAAGGATGTAATAAATAGGGTACAAAAAGCTTCAGACATAATTTAAGATTAAATATTTAAGGAATTAGAGTTATTTGATTATTTGATTGATGGATTTTAGAGTTAATCATTTACAACATCTTTAGAAAATGAATATTTAGATAGAGTGATAGAATTAATGAAGCCAGAGAAATTATAATAAATGGCAGATCATAAATAAAGTTAAATAAATTAGTTGCTTGATTATTCAAAATAAGTGTTAGAATAAGCAAGTAAATTTAAGATATACCCACTTGATGAAATAGCATTGGGAATAAAATTAAAAGAATTTTAGGAAGGTTAATATACATTGGCAGTAAAAGAATACAATTAAAATAATATTGGAATTTGTTATTTGTTAACTAATGGGAGATTAAATAAGATAGGTTAATATGATAATGGAGTAAGATCTGGAATGTGGTCAGAAGTGTTGTATTATAATAATAATAGAGATTTCAGTATGTATGAGAATAGCATAATATAAGAACATTTCGAGGATAATATTAATAAGGAGTAAGAGTGAAAAAATGGTATTATTACGATTAGGATTAATCAGTAATAGGAGGAGGTTAATTTTAAGAGGGATAGAAGGTTGGATAATGGATAGAACCTGAAGTATTTTTAGGAAAATGGGGAAAGATGTAATTATTATAAGAATAATATATTAGTGTTGTAATTAATAAAGGAGAATATGTGACTGGAGTGAGAGATGGCGAATGGGTTACTATTTTTGGAAATAGAGGTTAAGTGTAAGTATGATAGTAAATATCAGAGGAGGCGGAATGTATTAACAGGGTTAAAAGCATGGTTTTTGGACAGAGGTTGAAGGTTACGCTGGTTTTTGGTGTTCGATAGGAATATTGAATTAAGGAGAATATATAAATGGAATTAAAGTTGGGTTGTGGATGATATCAGAGTTGAATGTTGGATAGATGTATATATTTCAATTAAATAAAGTGGTGGAGGAAATTACTCTTAAATTGGTTTGAAAGAAGGTTTATGGACAGAAGTTGAAGTTCATGTTGGGGTTGGATGTTCAATGTATTTATTAAATATAAATATTAAGAATTTTATTACATTTTGGAGAGTATAAAGGAGGATTAAAATAAGGAAATTGGAAAGTGCTTGATATATGTAGAAATTAGATTGGGGGTGGATTATGCAAAGGATATAAAAAAGGAACTTGGGTAGAGATTGAAGTTTGTGTTGGATGGCGTTGTTCATAGTTATTTGATTGATAAATAATATTAGAATTTTATTGCATAAAGGACAATATAAAAAGGGATAGAAAGTTGGAGTATGGAACATTTACAAAGAAGGAAATGATACTATTTTAGGTGGAGGAAATTATATATAAGATTAGAAAGATGGAATGTGGACAGATATTCAAGTATTTTGTGGATATTATAGTACTAAGTAAATAATTATTGATTATCTTAAAGAACCTTAATATTTACTGGTGATTATAGTCTTGATAGAAAAATTGGTAAATGGGTGATTTCAGAATAATTAGAGGGAGTGATGTAAATAATTAATAATATAGACTAAGTGGAGGAGGATTATATTCTAGATCTGGAGAGAAGGAATCAGATTGGGTTGAAATAGAGATGTAAGTAGGTTGGAGATGTTTTGTGTAAGAATATACAATAAAAAAAGAATTTTGATATCTGAAGGAGAATATAATAATGGTAAAAGATCAGGATTATGGATTACTAAATTATATAAAGGGAATCAGTTAGGAGGAGGATGTTATAATAAATATGGATTTAAAGAGGGAGGTTGGAAAGAAGTTGAAGTTCATGTAGGAGTTGGCAAATATTTGTATAAAGATTAAATTAAATAGATAGAACGTTATTTCATATAGGTGAATACATAAGTGGAATTAGAACTGGGACTTGGGTTGTCTAGAATGAATAAAGAGAGATTGTGTAAATTGATTTAATTATTAAGTTCTTCTGGTTTTTATACTAAATCCGGAAGTAAAGATGGTGAATGGGTGGAAATACAAGCACATGATGGTATTGAAGATACAATTACTTTATTACATTAAGGAGAATATAATCATGGAGTTAGAGTTGGTAGGTGGAATATTTAAAAGGCAAATAAAGAATTAATGTATCCATTATTATTATAATTATTGAAGTGGTGGTGGTAATTATTCTTTAAGTGGAATTAAAGAAGCATAATGGTAAGAAGTTGAATGTCACATTGGATATAATTCAGAAGTCATTCTCTAATATAATGGATCCTATTAAAATGGATTAAGATAAGGAAAATGGGTTATTACTAAATTAGGTGGAGAATTTATGTATAAGTTTTGTTAATTAAGTGGTGGAGGTTAATATAGTGATTTTGGAAGTAAGATGGGATAATGGACTGATATAGATGTTAGAGTTGGTGGAGGTTGTTAAATGTATTGATGTATTGAATTTCATATAGAATTCTTAAATATTATGGGAATTATGATGATGGAATTAGAACAGGTGAATGGTCTATTACTTAACATGGTTTAAATACAATTATGTAATTGATCTATTTATATTTAGTGGTGGAGGTAAATATTCATCAAAAGGAATTAAGATTGATGCATGGATTGAAATTATTCCACATATTGGATATTGTAATCTAATGTAATTTTATATTTATTTAATTCAGTATTCTTAAGTATATTGGAAATTATAACAATAATATTAGAGTTGGTTAATGGGAAATTATGCATTAATAATAGATGTAATTTTTCATTAAATGAATAAAGTGGTGGTGGATCTTATTTAATAAATGGAATGAAAAATGGTAGATGGATTGAAGTGTTTCAATAATATTTTGATAGTCTTACAATTTTAACAGGAGAATATGTTAATGGAAATAAATTCTAAGATTGGGAATATATTGATAAATTATTAAAAGATTTATGAGTGTTTTATTATCATTATTTGTTTAGAGTATCTAAAACCTATTAAGCAGTTGGTCGTTTTTTTGGATTCTTATTTACCATTTTTAGTATTAGTTCTGATTCTATAGGATATTCCTTAAATAAATCTGGAGGTAATAAAGAATCTTTTGTTAGATCTTATATTAATCTTAATTTAATTTTAATAATTACCTGATCTTTTCAAAATAAGTCTTTATTTTCCATAACATTTCAAAAAATATGATTCCTAATGAGTATATATCAGCAGCTGAACCATATTAATCATCTTTTACTTCTGGAGCCATATACATAGGAGTTCCAATATTATTTGTATATTCTCCAGATGATTAAAAATCATCATCTAATTTAATTATTAAAGAATTGCATAATCCAAGATCTCCTATTTTTACTTAGTTCTTTGAATTTATAAATATATTTTAAGGCCTACATTTTAAATTATATAATCTTACTTTAAATCTCTATGAATATATTAATTACTGTGCATATAACTAATACCTTCCAAAATCTATTTAAAAATAGATTTAATTAAATCTTTTTCTATTTTTCTCTCTACTTTATCAATAAACTCTTTAAGTGTAAAATCACACAATTCCATCTAAGATAATAATATATAAAATTACTTCAATATACAATGTTAATAATTAATATTCCTCTTCTTTTTAATTTGGATTAAATTAATATCGACGCATACGAGATTAAACATAACTACTATAATCAGATAAGTGAAAGCTTTATACTGATTTTGATTATTTTGTGTTTGTTTATATTTATTTCTCTTTTTCTGTATTATCACCTCCACCAACAAATTATACATATTCATTCAAATAAGACATCTCATCCAATAATTAAGGATGATTCTAATTTTATTATTCTACATATATTTATTGTTATTATTCAGCTACAATTTCATGTAATTTTGCAATTTCTGCTATCATTTCTGGAGTTAATTCTTAAATCCAACTAGTATAATATCTAACTATATTTTTATGATTTATTTCTTAAAGTGATCCAATTTCTCTAAAAATAGGATGATCTCTTAATGATTTTTCATTTTTAACTTTAAAATAAATTCTTTTAACTGCATATTCTTTTAAATCAATAATTTTTTGACATTTATAAACTTCTCCAAATGTTCCTTTCCCTATTAGTTTAGGTGCAGTATACATTTTCTGAAACTTTCCATTTTCACATAACTTACTCCATTCTGTTAATATAAAAATTGTTCTATCTGGTTTCCCGTCTCCTTTATCCTATTCTATCATATGTACACCTTTTGCATTATTTTAATTTAAATCTACAAATTAGCCAGTTACTAATTATAATTCCTCATCATTTGCTTTTATTTTTTTTATCTCTTTTTTTGTAAATGTTATTATATTCTCCTCCTTATTTCTTTCTAATTCAACAATTTGTTCTCTTTATTCTGAAAACTTATGTTCAAAAAACTATATTTCTTAATTAGGTAAAGCAACAATATTATATTCAGGTTTATTTTATATAATTCTAGGTGATGATTCTGTACTTGATGTTTATTCCTTTTTTAACTTTTCACATTAATCACTACTTCGACCAATCGAACTAATCCTTAAATATACAAATATTACCTTAGTAATTCATCACTAGTTGCACTCTCTTTTCTAACGTGCATGGTTGTTTTATTCGATTTTTTACTAAAAATCTAATACATAAAAAAAAATGTCACACAATACACCACAAAAATTAGTATTAAGAACAATTCAAAATTATCCATAATTGACTATTTCCAATTAATCAAAGGAGGATCAATCAAAACTTCATGTTTTTGAACCCAAGAATGTTCCACTATCCAATTACTTGTTCTAAATTCTTACTTGATTTGGTTTGTTTATTTATTTTGCATAATCTGTATAAAAAATATTAATGGAATAAACTCACTTTTTTAAATGATTAATTATTATTATTCAAAAATTTGTTACAAATACAACCACATATATAATTACTACTAAATTTGGCATAATTTATATAACCAATAACATTTTATAATTAATATTTTACTTTATTTTAATCAATAAAAAGATTTCTTATTAGATCAAAAAATGAAAAACTAATTTATCTCCTTCCATTTTATCAAAGTTAAACAAAAGAGACTGATATAAATTTTTATTCTAAATTAATTTCTCTATATACATGTTATTCTTAAATATCAATATCATTTATCAAGAAAATATAGAAATATATCACTTTATGAATTAGATATTAATTAAATGTTAGATTCATTATTTTGAGTAGAGAATACTTGATTAAGCAATAACCTGAAAAAAATTAGTAAGAAAATAATATGTAAATTTTTAAATTAACTTTAACAAGAATTTTAAAAGTTTTAAGCCTTAAATTAATCGTAAAAATTTATTAGATGGATTACTTTCTATAATACATAAAGTATATAGAAAGAAATTTAAATACAGAGTCTTTTAACTAAACTAAATATTTCTATTTATAATCATTTTTACCAAAAATTGATATATTAAAATATTAATAAAAAATACAATAAAATCATGTCTTTTTATGAACTTATAGAAAAATTCTATGATCCTTAAATTTGTAAACAAATTCAAGATCCAAGATTATTGCTGATCAACATAGCTTCTTCTTAAATCTTAAATGAAAAGAAATTCTATGCAGATCAAGACAGAACTAGAGATGAACTATTTCAATCACTTCTACAAATTGCTGATAAAGATCCTGAATTTGTTTTATAAGTAGCATATTACACAAGAAACAAATTATTGATTCGAGCCACATCTAATTTCATTTTAGCTTTTGCTACATGTTATGATTCTTGTAAACCTTTTTGTAGAAAATACTTTAACTATATCGTAAAATTACCGACTGATTTAATTGAGGTAGCTGAATACTCATAATTAATGCGATATTACTTGAAACTTGAATGGGGGGGCTTTTAAAATGGATATCAAAGATCTATACCATATAGTTTAAATTGTAGAAAAGAATTAAATTTCTCAAAAATGCTTTAAAAGTGTGGAGCAAATAAATTTCACTAATTTACTCTTCATTAATTAGCCAAATATTGCTCAGACAGAAGGAGAAAAAGAATTATCTATAGATTTTCAGAATTAGTTGATCCAACACTCTTTATGAAAAGGTACAAGAAAAGAGCTGAAAAAATTAAATTTATGGAAAAAGCTTAGAAAAAATAAAAATAAAAAGTAATTAAAAAATAAGACAGATAAAAGGCTAAATAAATATAAAAGTAAATACAAAAGAAGTTAAAGTTTGGCAAGAAAAAGAGAGTTTTAAGAGCATTAGAAAGGAAATTTATTACAATGAAAGATATTATTTAAATGTTTCACATTAGTTAGCCTAAATATAATGTTATGTGTATATTGAGATGTCGATACCCTAAAAACTAAGATGAATTTAAGCAGCTATTTCCACAAGATGAAATTGTTTTTGAATAGGAAAAATGTGGAAAGAGAATGAAATTACCTAAAATTATTACTTGGGAGAGAGAATTGAGTTAAGCTTAAAATGATAAAGTTTGGGATAAGTTAATTAAAGAGAATAGAATAACATATTTAGCCACTATACGAAATCTTAAAAATATACTTACAGGTTATCTATCCCCGAAAGCATTCACTTTGTTATAACAATTTTTAAGTAATACATAAATAATTTAATCAAATAAGATTACAATGCTATAATATTATAAGGCATAAGAAGTACTAATTTAGATGAAAAATGAAAGAGCAAACATAATATATAAATTATTAAATAATGCCATTAATATAACAATTAAAAACTTACCTACAATTCCAGGAAAAACTCATATTTTTGTTGATGTTACTGGATCAATGAGTTATGAATTAGGAAACAAAAGTTTATAATCAGTAGCCTTTGTAGTATCATAAATATTGAGAATGAAATGTGAGTATATGGAATATTACATTTTTGGAGGTTAAAAAAATAATGAGCCATATCTAAGAGTAAACTTTACAGATTAAGACCTTTATGAATCGATTTAGAGATGTGATATGGTAAGAAGATAAATTGGAAATTATTATGCGATGATTGGTTAAACAATTGAAGATTTGTTATATAAACCAAAAATATTTTGCGATAATATTGTAATAATCTCAGACATGGCAGTTTAGAAATGTTTTAGAAAAGATAATATTAGTTTTGAGTATCTTTTAAGTTCTTATATTCATGAAGTAAATCCAAGAGTAAAAATATTCTTTATGGATATCAGTGGTTCTGGATTTTAAATAAGTGCTAATTAAAATTGCCATTTATTATCAGGTTCAAGTGAAAAAATTATAGAATATATAACAATTTAGTACTTAGACTAAATTTAAGAAGTTCTGTCATTTTCAAACACATTGGGAAATTAGTAAATATTAAAAATTGAATGAAAATTTATATAAAAATTAAAAAAAATAATTATAATTAGCTATTATGATTTAAATTCAAGATAATTTGAATAAAAATTATCCTAATTAATATCTAATATCATTTGAACATAAAGGTTTATTAGTGTTCTATATTTTTATAAACATCTTTTTTGATATTTATGCATATTGCAGTTAATCTTTATAAGTTGATATAAAAAAATTTATAAGTATAGTAATCTTTTGTAATAATTATTAAAACTTCAAAATCTTTATAAATTATAAGTTATTCTAATTGCTTCATCACAACAAATGTTATAATAAATAATGATTTCATTTCGATCTCTTATTGTTATTTTTTGTTGAACAATTAATATACAAATATAACTTAAACTATATATAAGTAAAAGCTCTATTTATTGAGACAATTATTCTAATCAATAAAATTGAAGAGTATTTCATTTTAATTGTTTGTTAATCATCTCATTATTTAATTTTTACATAATTATAACCAGAATTTGGTGAAGAATTTCAAATTTCTTATTAATAATCCTATTAAATTTTTGAGTTATAAACCAAAACTGAATAACATCAAACTTTGAGCATTTATTTAATTAAATTAAAACGATTTGTTTTTTTTTATTGATTCAATCTAAGACACCTATAAATATATTTAGAGTATAATTCTTTAGAAAACTTTTATATTAAGTGTTTTTTAACTCTTAAATTCTCAAATTGTTATGGAATTAACAATTGTTAGAGAACTAAAAATCAATTTATTTTATAAAATAACAAGTATTTGATAATAAAAGTATATGAAGCCTTAGTTTTAACATTTTTCATGAATTAAAAATATTTTATTATTAAAATTTTAGATATGTAATGAACTTTTTTAAAAATTATATTTTTAATAATGATTTTTTTATATCTTTATGTAAAAAAAAATCATTTTAAGTTTTCAAATCTAACTTAAAAAAATAAAACACTATTATCAATGAGAATAATTATTTTTTTT